AACTGCCTTACATAATCACATGGCTTCCTGAAATACACTCCATTCAAATCGACCTGGGAATCTTTATTTCACTCTGGCTTAAAATATCATCACGTTGAACTGCAATGGCAGACAAGCAGTATATTCTGAGGCAATTCCCCGAATCATCACATTATTAAAATCAGGTACGGCATACAATATATCTGTAAAATGTTAATATTTCACAAATAACTAATTCACACACAAAACTTTGTCACATAAAATCGTCAACAATCTTGTACTGATCAACAGTTCCGATTTATCATTATTGTGTAAGATGATGTACCGATTATCTAACTTATACCATAGACCTAAATATTTAGGTTTATTATCACTATGCTTATACTAAGCCTGAAACAACGATAGCATTTGGCAGCAGAATGTGATTTTAAATATAACATAACAGTCATGTCAAAATTAGAATTCATAAGCAATATTAAATCATGATTGAAAAGGCTACAAATAAGGCTGCATGTTACATGTACATAAAGGACTTATGTATCATTTCATCATTAGAAGGAAGACAATCTGAATGTCCAAAAAGGTTGGAAAGGGTTTATCATTTGAATAAGAACACATACCACTATAATTAATACCATACCTACTGACAAACTATTAAAAAACAAAAACATTTCAAATTCAAATTTTTTTTTTAGCAAAGGTAGATAATTCCTGTAGACAGGGCAAGTGCTCAAACCGTCCCTGGGATAGGCCCCACATTTTGTCACACATCCTGATCTGAAGTACAGGGTCAATACATACACTGTTACCCTCCTCCACAGCAAGACAAACATTGACTAAGCTTGTGGGACTTAGCGTGTATGTCTGTTGTATCACCTCAGATTCACTAATATCTAGCTGGAGTTTAATATAGCCGTGTACTGTTGTCTTACCATTCACTATCAACAAGTCTGGCTGTCGAATACAAGAATATGATCCTAACATATGTACCCAACAAACTGCTTAAAATACATGAAGTAGGAAATAACCTTTCAAGAGAGCAATTTGCTGTTTTTCAATTTACACCCTTGACTTAAAGCAGCATTACTAATTACCAACAAAACAGAAAATACTTATTTTATCTATGGAACCAAGAGTTTGTGCTTGATATTCAGCATTCTCACAGTTAAGTAGAATATCAAGAATTTGGAGGAGTTAAATAATTGTGTTATCATAACAAAGACTAAATGTTTCAGAAAAGTTAAATTTTCTTGGATGGTGACTAATGATCATCCAAAATTTCCTAAAAATATTTTTCAAATTTGGTAAAAATATATCTTATCAAAGGTTGATGAAATAATGAAAATGCCCTTATCACAGTTTTCTCAAGCAATTTCACTGAGGCAGTTTGACTTCCTCATCAGCTAACCTTGCCACCGGCTAACCACTAAGTTGGTACTGCCTTAATTACTAAGCTGTTTACACAACACTGTCAACAGATACTCTTACATCATGCAGGACATACTGAAGTATCACCATTCATTTTCCTACTGAAATTACATACTTAGAAATAGCATTACTTACTTGTGACTGTGTTAGAGCCATATGAATGGACAACAAAAAAGATGTTATACAAATGAACAAAATTATCTCACTGGAAATTTCCACTACAGCTAAACCCTGCCAAACAATGTGCAGTGAAAGTGGCAAGTTAACGCAGGACCTTTACACTGGCTTTAAGCCAATCATTCCTAACACAAAAACATCTTGATTTATGAACAAGATTGAAGAAAGAAATGTTGAGCTAATTTTACCAGTGCACTGGATTGTTTTGCCACAGGCTAAAAGATAGAGATACAGACAGGACCATGTGTGTAAGCTTTGCCTCTGTTGTGTGTCGGCAGAGGCAGGGGCAGATCATCGTTAACCTCTGCGGAAGAGTTTGGAAATAATCACCTGTACCAGGTACCAGTCGTTTTCTTTTCATTTGAGTAAGAACACTCTACTTTTGGACAATTAAAACAACAATTTGCATACCAACCAGAAGATACAGGAATAAATTTGTTTGATTCAAAAAGAATCTGGTTTTCAACTATTTACCAAAATTACCATTTTGGAGAAACATGACAAATTTAACAAAAGTCAGTGAGCATGTTTTTACGCAGCTTTTACCAATATTCCAGCAATATCACAACGGGGGACACCAGAAATGGGCTTCACACATTGTACCAATGTGGGGAATCGACCCCGGGTCTTCGGCGCGACGAGCGAATGCTTTAATCACTATGCTACCCCACCGCCCCCAAACAAATTTAACAAAACATTATTTGTTTGCAAAAATAGCTATGGTTTGTCAGATATTTTAGAATGACATACCAAACATAAAGAGTCCACATCCTGATTCTGGTAAAAGTAAAGTTTTTTTGTCAAATACTTGCAGACAGCTCATACATCAATTAAGGAGATGTATTTATGTTTTAAGTTAGCGAGGAAAAGAAACGAATTTTGAGTCATAAATATCATTCTAGTTTCAGTCGTCCAGGACACTGGTGTCTGACCATGGTGACAGATAGCCCTGTGCTAAATAGGTAATCTCACCTTAGGAATATGGACACTACCAGCTACAATAGTGTGGATTTCACATGACTCACTAAATATGCTCAGCCTTGCTGATAAATGGCAGTTATCTGTGAGGCTTTACTTCATGAACAAATCAACAGAACATGTAAGTGAATAGAGCAAATAGCTTCTTCTGAATGTTTTTTTCTAGCAGAATATAGGTTAGTCGTCAAATACAAAAACTAATTTATAAGAAAGTGAATTATGGTATTAAAGACATGATTAGGCAGTACTGTTCCTTGGCATTATATTTCTGATACATAGAATTCATTTCCACAGGTATTGTGTCTCCTGACCAGAAAAGTTTTAAAACTAATCAGAAGTGCACTGTCAAAGGGTTGTATTCAGGTTTAATATGCTATAGACCTCTTGAATGCTGTAATCAATCGACATGAGTGAGTGGTTTTACGCCAATTTAGTAACTGTCCAGCAACATCACATCAGAGGAAGGGGCTTCACACCAATGTGTGAAATTGAACCTTGGCATTCTGCATGAACAAATGTTAACCACTAGGGGGCCAAAAAGTCCCTAATAAATTTGGATTCCTTAAAGGTAGATGTTTGCTATCAGATCTCTGGCTCATCCATGGCGTGAGTGAGTGTGTTGGGTTTTACGCCGTTTTTTGCAATATTCAAGCATTATCATGGCGTGGGATACCAGGAATGGGCTTCACACAATGTACCCATGTGGAAAATCGTAAAATGAGCCATCGGCATGACGAGCGAATGCTTTAACCACTAGGCTACCCCACTGCCCCCTCATCCATGGAAATGACACTACTGGTGGTGAACATAAATCAAGCCATATTCTTATAAACATGCAATGTATGTCTGGATAGATTCTAAATTATTTCAAAGGATACTTAAACCCTACAAACAAACCTATTGGACTATTATATTTTCATTGACTTGGGATGACAAACAGAACCTTGAATAAGACCATCCGAAAACATAGTAAACATGGCCATAAACATGTAATCAACACGAACAGCATCAGATAGCAGGGGAAACAGAAACATTAATTCTCTGGGCACAAACTTAACACTTACATAATTGGTGAACACACAAACAGAAGTAACTGGTCATAAATTCTTCATTGGAAATTGTCATCATTAAAAGGCATTGATTGCACTTCAAGGCTCCCCTAAACTGTTGTGGCTGACGAGCTATTAAATCTTAGATATGGCTCAAGATCTGCAAGTCAGCTGTTACACCGATACAGGTTGGTGACATACTGTACCACTGCCCAGCCTGGAGCTGTGTGCAAAAGTACGACAGTCAGCTGATAACCCAAGCCATACAGGGGCAAACTGTCGGCCAACCCTCGGGCAAGTCCCAACAATACCCCTCTTCCTTGGCAACCCACCAATGGTATATAGTGAAGAAATAATGTCCCATATGCATAGAGTACATCTAGATCAATACCAGATAGAATAACAGACCAAAGGTACATTTTCGGAAGAATAGCATGAAACTTTAACTAGGATGATTTTCCCATGATAACTGTCATTACTGAGATGATAAATGGCAGTTGGATGCTACTTTGCAACAAGGAGGACTTTTTCAACCTTCAAATGTTGAAGATGCAAGGATAAGTTGTTGCCATGTTATGATATGTCAATAGCTTGCAGGTTTTGGTATCATATAAACAAATACCAAAATATGAAATGAGTACTATCATTTATGCTACTTTTTGAAAGTAGTTTTGATACTAGTTTGATTAACTTGCTGACTTGACATGCCCAAAGTTTCATTTTCCATTTCATTAGAAGGTAACAAAGAAGTCATCCTTACAACACAGTTTCAAGTCTAATACTAGAGCAGGGGCTAGAATCAGGCAATACCAAATCATTAATCTTGTACAGTAGCATTGATCGTACCGTCTTCCAACACTGCATGACACAGCCTGCTGATATAGTCTCACTTACTCAGCATTTTATGTGATCACATCATAACATCATCCTATTTCAGATAAAATGTCATAGAAACGTGAACTGTGTGTAGTTATTCATTTGTAATTTTCAAGGTACATAATGCAGTTGTGTTTGGAAATCTAGAATTTCAAACATTGATTTAATACTGATCAATTATGCATGGAAAACGTAAGACAATAGTACCTTTGATAACGCATGGAAAAGGTAAAAATACTGGGTGATAATTTCAATGATATTAAGCACAAGATTTTCTATTTTGCTGAAGGCTCTATTTCTACAATATCTTTTCATTGAGTACAATGACTTTTGTGAAAATGTAAGTATTCCTTTATGATAAGGTCATGAAATTTTTTTAAACGAATTTGCCGTACGAAAAAAAGTCACAAAGATACTGTTTTCACCAGTTACAAAACAGGTCCAGATTACGGTATTGATTTACCACAGGCATAAATTATGAGCAGTTATGAAACAGCAAAAATAGCTATCTACCTGACAGACTGTCAAAACTGTGTCCATCCTCTTTGGTTGACGTCAAGTTGACAGCTAAAGCTACCAAAGACCGATCTGCTACCAAATCTACCACCTGTCAACTGACAATCCTCCTGACAGTAGTACAGCATGGGTTATCTCCCTTAGAAACACATGCGACAGATCTGAAGTTACATCTGAGGATCAGAATAGTCTGTGAAATGTTGTACAGTCTGTATGAAACTACGAAGGGATTAAACCAAAAGCAAGTGAAAAGCAGGAAGGCTTTTAGCTGAATTATAAAGCTCTGAATTTCGCAGAAGTTTCTCTGTCAGTTGACATGTGTTAGATCCGTGACGTTTATCCACTTTCCATCACTCGTGGCAGACTTGTAATGCACAAATATATCGTGACACTGTCAGGATATCTTCAAGTGAAAGTTAAGAGCCAAGAACGAAAATCGAGCACAATGTGCACTCCTGAAGCACATCACACACTTCTTTTTCTTAGAAGATAACTTATTTGATCCATTCACAGAATATATTCCAGCTCCAAAGTGATAACACGCTATCCACTATGACAGACAGCAATCTATCATCCCGATTTTCGTAATGTGCAACGAAACATTAGGTACACATGAGTGACGTCCACCTCACATTGTACCCCGACGCAAGTGTGAGTGTTATATGGAACAGTCGAAGTGTACGTCTGATGTAAATCAACGGGCTCTTACACTTACCTGCATTGCAACACCGGAGAAAGGCTAAAACTGAACCGGGTCATTTAGAAACGATAGTTAGTTACACGCGATACTATTGGATATCATTCGCCGAGCCTCCGTGAAGGCAACCAATCAGAATGAATGAGAGACACATGGCCTTCACATTCATTTCTAATATAGCACGTTGAACTCTATTACTACACATTTCGGCACAGTTGTAAAAATACTAGTAAGTAACTAGTTATCACCCGAGATGTGGTCATGTACAAAATCAACTTAAATCAACCGAAAGAGCAGATCGTCGAAAAATGAGAGCCGTGAGACATGCGGAAAGTTACCTTGTGTGAAAATCATGTGTGAAAATTTCCCTGAGTCCAAGTGGGAGTGTATTGCGTCAGCATAGAGCTGGGTCGCGATCGAGTCGATATATCCTTGTGTCCCGGTACGATGTGGGTCAGAGGCACTAGGCACACCACTGTCCCCCAAAGTGGTCAGTTCTTCAACAGCAAGTCAGTGTAAGAGTGATTCCCACCCCTGACAAGTCATTAAACTTAAAACTTCACTGAAAAGCGTAGATATTGCTTCAATGCCGAGTCTGGATGCTCCAAGATCTCTGACGTCATGTGCTCTTTTATGGACACGGGGTTTTCTTCATTGGATTTCTGGAGGGAAGCGCAGCTATTTGTGAACCGACGTGCGTATAATACCTACGTAAATCCAGAGCACCGACGCAACGGAGTTAGGTTTTTTTTCTCGCGGGGGAAATCAATTGCCTCTATATAGAAATAGTAAATCGAAACTTTTATGTTAAGCGTTCGCATTCAACTGTTATCCTTAACGGAGACATATATGAAATATAAATGAACGCGTGGGTATACTTACATATTCATGGCACGGTTGTATTAACTGCACATAGGGTATTGATTGCTAATCTGATAACTAGGCAAACGGGTTACTGGAAATAGCTTTGGGTGAAGCAACATTGAACAGCCTCGGGCGGCAGTGTCTGCTATTAGAACGATATATTAGGCATCGGTATTTTTTGGATTCTTCGCGGCTTTCCATGTCTGGACACTGAATTTCGCTTGGATGTTTGAAAGGTGTGTTTGCTATTGTAAATTCCTCCACATTTTCCGTCTCCTAATGGGAGAAAACACATGAAATGTAACATTTTGATGGATAATTAGAAATGCCTTAGCGGACAGTCGATAATTTGGATCAATTCCTCTTTGAAGCTTCAGCAAATAAAATAACGTGGTTTTCTTCACAAAGATAATCGAAGTGTTGAAAGACGAAATTCATTTTGAGACACCTCTTTGGAGTCTTGTGAAATGTCAGCGTTAATGCTATAAGTCATATTTGAGATGAACACAAAATTAAATCTTGTAGTTGATTTTCAAGCTGTTAACCATTGCTTTCACATTCACATATACCAACAGGGACAAGAATGTGTTTGGTAAGTGCGTTTAGTGACCCCTTAGACAACGTTCGAAATTAACGTCGGTCCGTAGGCCCGAAGCCGACTGAAAACCACTCGGACCCACATCTTTCGTTTTCTGCAATTAATCTGACTCTGACATATCCCTGTCTGAACATTCGGATTCAGACTTTTCAGAAGACTTGGATCATGACATGGATGATTTCGTTGTAAATGAAGACCAGTCATTCACTAGAGTTAAATTAAACTCTTTAACTCGGTTTGTTAGTTGTCACATTTTTTGTTTGCTGGGAATTACTTATATTGAAGCTAAAACATAGGACCTACACCCTCTGATCAGGACCCACAACTTTTTATGGTTCTGGGTCCTTAGGGTCTGCAGCTTTTCAGGGTTAAGGGCAAACACTGCCCTTAGACCTTACAATACACAGTACTACTGGCACTGTCAGTGACCCCTAACACACATACACGCACGGCCAATCATTATTTCTATATCAATCCTATTTCGATATACTTTCTCTTCAATTAAGCATATCAGCCACAATTGGGTCATCTGACATGTGCTCCTTGAGCTGTCAGTCACATTATGTCGTCATATTTAAGCTATACAGAACCACCAGCCTTGATAGTGATCCATACGTTGTTAAATACGACGGTTTTTATAACTTTCGACAATATTGCTTTATCCATACGGTGTTGATTCGTTTCCATATACCTTAAAGAGATCCAGGGTCTTGTACAAAATGTATGGAATAATAAATAGATTGACGTATTTCTTATTCCTAGTGTTCGCCTTGTCTGCATTCAACCAGACAGTTGCGCGGTTAGGAAATGCTAAGTACAAAGAACCGACGTGTGGTGTACTGGGTGAGTGGATGTTAACTTGTCTTGAACAATATTTCGTGACGTGTGAGATTAATGTGAGGGGAAAGAAACACATAACGGAGGTATATGCAGTGTTTGAGAAACCCGCTGCCCAACCGTCCGGGACGGGCTGTTTATTTTTCTCAGGGACGGTCAACTTTGGAGAAGTGTGTGCCTGATGGTCTGGCTGATTTAGAATTTAGATTTAGTTCATAAAAATAGATATGGACTTCATTCATCTGTGACGTTTAATAATAAGAGCACACACACACACACACACACACACACACACACACACACACACACACACACACACACACACACACACACACACTAATATAATATAATTAATATAATACAATATAATATATGATATGATATGATATGATATGATATGATATGATATGATATGATATGATATGATATGATATGATATGATATGATATGATATGATATGATATGATATGATATAATATAATATAATATAATACTGGACTGGCAAAGTTTGTCCCAGACTGGCAATTTTTAGACTTGCCAGTCCGGCTGTGTGGCTGGTTTCAGTTGAAGTTGTTCTCACCGTACTAGGAACGTAACTGTGGAATGCAAACACTTACTGCACGGTGATCCGAGCCAATCTAGCCTGGGAATCGTATGGTGCACGAAGGTATGTTAGGGTACGTACAGAAGGACGGTTGTCATACAGTGGAGCCCTTTATGCCGTGATGGGTCTTGAAGCAAATGATTGTAAATATGTTGACTATAATAAAAAATATATATATTGTAATCACTGAACTAATTGACCACTTTCTAATCAACTGACACGGAATTTACCGGATTTTCGAAACTATAGTTGTTTTCTATTGTGCGTGTCAGTGTGTATGTGTGTTGGTCTGTGTGCAGTTTTAAGTACTTTTATTTAACATAGGACAGACCACTGAAGTATTGTTTTGGCGAGCTGTATTGAAGTTGTATCTGTTGCGCTTTTGTCCCGGGTAGGGGCACTGTACAGGTGTATGGGTATGTCTGGATCAATGAGCTAGGATTAACGGGATTATCACTGTCCACAGCTTCGTGTATCAAATTAACGTGATACTTTGATCAAGGACACGATACCCACTGAACAACATCTGTGAATCTAAGGTAGCCCCGCTGTCGGCAGCCCAACCATGAACGAAGTACGGGTCTTGTTATGAAGACTATACAGTGTAAGAGAAGAGCCCATTTCCTGTTAGTCTAACTCGCCGTTTCCGCGAAGTTCCCTGTATTCCATCACGTACAGGGGGAAGGAAACTATAGTGCCTCGGGCTACCTGATGGGGAAGTATGCTAACCATACTGGAAATGCTACACCAAGAAGAAAACCATTCTACCAGGAAGTAATGACTTTTCCCCAATTTACTCCCTAAATTATCATGCTTCGTGGTGGCAGTGCGTGATGAAGGCATGGCATTAGAAGACCATCGTGATTTTAAGACGTCAGATTTTCAAAATCGGCACACACTTATTAAAAGGTTGAAAAGCAGGCAGAATCATTATTTGTGTTGTTACGTAGCTGATATTCATTCACGACAAATACACATCCCGACATATATGAAAAGGTTAAACAAAGGGTGCATATGTAACCAAAGAAAAGTAACATGAAACTTCTATTCTACCTAGTCTGCACTGAAACAACAATTACAACGCTAATTGCAACGTCACGGCAGCGAACGTTAACGTGTACCACATGAAGGAGCAGTGCAGATAGGCCAAGCAATTACTGGTTCTATTCAAAATATATGTTCCAAAGGAAACAAGAGATTACGATCATGAGACAGTGGGAACTGTTGTAGGATATGATTTCTTGGACCTAGTAGTATAGCGTGTGTAGCGAGTCTCTGTCTGGACATGTATGTCTAATCACTGTCTAATTGATCACGTCTCACAGCTAAGCCGAGCATGAATGCATGTCTACCTGCTTTTATGCTGTACCACACACTTATACATTTGATAATTGTCTTCTGACATTTATAGGAAGGCGGATATTAGTCTGACGCTAGTTACTGTTGTATTCTTAAAGATATTTGTATTAAATGCACCAGTGCACTTTTTGATGGCAGTACATTAAGAATTTATTACGTTTCTTTCAAACTGATGTCAGCTAATGTTTCGTGTGTGCACTTTAAATGACAATATATTCAAATGTCATGTTAACATTAAACTTATCGCATGTAGTTGAGATATGCTGCTTATTCAGTGTACGATCTATCAGTGCAAAATATGTAAGCAAAAAGCAACTGAACAAAATATCGTCGTTAGGTGAGACGGTGATGATACATGCAGAGGGAATCGTGTGGAATGAGTGTCTAGGTATTGGTTTACGTCCGTTAGGCTACGGTCCCGCCAGAGCGTGCTTAACACACTGAATCCATGTAAGGAACTGAACCTGGACCTTGGTCGTGACCAGTAACAGCTTTAACCACGGGGCTACCCCGCCGCCTCTACAGAGGAATGATAATCAAGTATATGTGCAGAAAATATACAGATATGTATGCAGGCCTGGCTATGATAGCAACTGTAACTGGGACTGAATTGCTTCTGTTATGTCTTTAATAACACTGATTGTACATATATAGTTGTGTTAAAGAGAATCCTTTCAGCGTTCAATATGTCGGCAGTCACTATGTTGTATTTTGTTAAAACGCATATGCGCACGA